CAGCAAAAATGTCAACTGTTCAACAAATGATATGACTGATATCAGAAGGGGTTTTGTGGACATTATACTAACTTTAATAGTTGAGATCATGGGTCATTTGAAACTAGACCACCATGGAAAACCTGGAAGCACTGGTGGACGAGCTTCAATTGACTAATCATCTCAACTACTAAAATGATATGACATTATTCTTAAAGAAATTGTTAATTTCTTCGTAAACGGACAAATAAGAATTAGACAAACAACGAAAGGATTTTGTGCTGCCTAATGCTTATGTCTATTAAGTTTGTGATTTTAGAAATTTACAATTTGATTGGCATTTCATGCATACACCTACTAACTTAAAAACAGAAACAATGATTTGAGCAAAGTAACACAAATCTATTTTACTAAGTTCACGTGTCATCAGCTATCCATAAATAATATGATTTCAATATCAAGAATTACAAATGGAGCTTAACACAGTTATAAACATAAATTTGGTCAAAATTTAATTTGAGTATATTTTTTTTATTAATTCATTCACTTATCAGTCAGCTACAACGTAGGACCAGGCACATTTATGCATCGGTCCAAGTTGCCATACCTTATTAACACAACAAGATGGACACCGGATTCATAAAAGTAGTTAATTCAGAGGTGGTAATATATAAAAGAAAGATTGCAATAAGGATATATTACAGGAAGGAAGAATTAGTTCGTAGAAAGAAAGGTATGAAGCAATTTAATCTCTTAGTTTAAGGGAAGACAGGGAGTGTATACACCGACGCCATTGTGATTGATTCTGAGCCATGTCACCCAGAGTCTCCAATCATTGGTTACGATAGTCACGCGGACCCCAACCAAGTAGTCTGCATCTACCAACATGGCTCAGACTAGAAGTTAGTGACTTCAAGCACTGATGCCACGTTTTGGTTTGGCCGCCCCTAACTTTCTTCCAACCATCCCCTACCCCGGTTAGCATTGCACGTCGTGGTAATCGGTGTTCGGGCATACGTAACAAGTGGCCCAACCATCTCAGTCGATGAAGATTCACAACCTCATCAACTGATTTACCATCCTTCCCCAATACCCTGCATCTAACCTCACTATTACTTACCCGGTGATCCCAGTAGACGCCAGCAATATTTCTGAGGCATCTGTGGTCAAATACTAGTAGCTTAAGAGTGTATTCTACTCTTAATGGCCATGTTTCGCTGCCGTAAATTAAAACAGAACGGACTGCCGCGCAGTATACTCGTCCTTTTATTGATAGACGGATATCTCGCCTTCACCATAGGTGACGTAAGTTGGCAAAAGCCAAACGAGCTTTTCGAATCCGTGCTGAGATTTCGTCAGACACCAACCCATTAGGGCTGATCAGACTTCCGGGATAAGTGAAGTTGTCAACACGTTCGACTACTTCACTCATTCACTTATATGTTTGCGCCATCCTTTAACCACTGTTGGGATGGTAATTTTATTTACTAACCAACCTGAATTAACCCACTTCATCCTTAGTTATCACGATTCTTTATCCCGTACACTTAGTCCCAATCCTATAATATTTTGTTCCTATCACAAGTAATAATAACATCCACGTTGACTGCTTGATTCGCAAGGCCATCATGTACGAATATGAAGCTAAAAAAATATACGTATCTCAACGTATAAATTAGATAAAATAAGGCTTAAGTAGAGAAATTCAGAGTTCAAACTACCTCCACAGTTACATCTACAGCAAGAGAACAATTTATAGACGAACCATTAAGAGTTAAGATAACGAGTCTTGAATTTTGGCCCGAAATTCACCCATCTATATGGCCAAATAGAATTTTGGCATTGCTATATCCTAGCGAAGATTAAATTACTATAAACTTTTGAGACCTATTAATGGACTAATATTATCTATATATTCTTATGGTACAACTATTCAGTAACTAGATTGCGTATATCTATACTCCTCTTATTATAAGCTTTATTTTGAACGATAGATTATTGTACGATTTGCTGTTCTTAAGTTATGTTCAGTCCCACGTTCACAGCCACATTCTGGCTTTACTGTGTATAAATGTTATTTCCTATTTTATGGTGTGATGAGGTCTGTTTGGCTGGTAATATAAACCAAGTATGTTTGAAGTAAATGATTCGCATAGTAGAAGCTGTTATTGGTATTTTGGACTCAACTGGACGGGCTAGGAGAGCAAAGTACCAATAGAACGCTAAGTTGATCAAACAGGTCGAACATCGTCGGTTTAGTACAAGAGTAAATCAGTCGTATTTTTATTGGCGAATAATATTACGTGATAAAAAGCCACATTTAAAGCCACAGCAGGCATTATAGCTGATGCCAGTTTGTGATGAAAACTCTAACTCCTGATTCTAGTTTCGCACACTAATTATAACCCTCTTAAGACCCCAGGAGGTAGGTGGATTCTCTTAAGGTCACTCCAGCGTCGCTCAAAAGTAGTCCACAAATTTTAGTCTCACCGCATCTAAACAAACAAAAAAACAGTTTAAACATACAATTAACACTAAGAATAGTAAGTAATTGCATCCTGTACATTATAAAGCACCACGAAAGAGAACAGTCCACCGTGGACGGCATAAATGGCTGTAATTCATTCAAGTGCACACGACACCATGAAAACTTAGGGAGAGGTACTAAGTAAGCCGATTATTAAAAACCAGATCTAATCAGAAAATTCCGTAATTACATTTAATTGTCAGATGATTCAAGAAGCAACCATTTAACTAATGTTGAATTACCGACACCAACACAAAAATCTATTAAAAAATTGTCAACCCGACATCTCATGGACAGTCAGAATACTATATGTTCACGATATCAAAACTTTTAGCAGAAAGACTCGTCCTTTTTTGAGATACTGCTGTCAAATACAGATGCTTTAAGCAGATAAAGTGAAACAACAGTCACAAGATCACTGATAGTTTCATAACATTTTTTTAAGCGCAGTAACATAGCCGAATAGGCAATCGATTATCATGATAGATAAGACTGTTCATACAGCTCCCCAGCTGCTTGTGACTTCTTATTAGTCCTCATGTGAACATGTATATCAACCAGTGATATTTGGACGAGTAATAAGTGCAAAAGATTAGTTATGTTTGGGTGCAAATTGATTTCATTGCCTCCATTGCTATGAAGAGGTTGAATTGAAAGACTCTTATTTCCAACAAAACTCAAGAAATTGCAGCCAGGTATGGTTATATTAAACCCATTGAATTTTTTATTGCCTACCTGCTGTAATTTAAACAATTAACCCATTGTGTCTCAGTCAATACAATGTAAGACCAGACATATACATGCATTGGTCCAAGTGTCTGACTGAACACATGTCCGCACCTCAACTATATCTATCCTCCCATTGGTTGCTGATACAGGCAACCATTAGCTTACCCACAATTGATTAACACTCATAAAACACATGGATATTCTAACGTTTTACTCTCACCTCGCCTCCCAATGTGCTTGCCTTTTGTGCGCTTTTGGATTTGATTAATCATTAACCATGTACTATCCCAACAATTGGTGTTCTGGCTTTTGGATATTTTCGAGTAACTCCATAGTACGACTCAGAGAATTTGCCTGCTTAAATACTCAGCTAACGGAATATACATCTATTAGAGTCAGATGGAATGGAATCAACCTCTAAATAATAATATACTTGACTGGATTCTCAGTAGAAATTCAGCCGACTAACTGAAGTGACATGTGAACAGCAGTAATAAAAGAGAGTTCTCCAGATTCAATAATTAGGTGCACCATAACTTTACAAGAAATAAAGGACTAGTTATTCTCGAAATAACCAACAGAAAAACTACCAAACTTACCTTTATTATGAATATTACAATATCACACAGGAAACTGAGATTTTCAGGTGGCACTAATAGTGCTCATGTTATGTTGAGAAATTACACAAGAATAATTGTAATTATTAGTCATTCTGATATAAAGAGAAAAAACCGATAACAATGGGAATAAACGAAGCAAATTTGGTTTTTTATCATCCATCTCATTAATTTCGTGATCAAATTAGAGAAACAGCAACTCAGAGTATGAGAGCACTGATAAAGCTTGACCAACAACTGTTCTCCAAGAAATTTGACGAAGAATACAAATGAGACCCAAAAATGAGTCAATTTTGCTATAACTTGTTGTACAGGTTAGAAATATTGACTCTAGGGAATGTAACAGGAGTTTGGTCATGTATCTAGAATATTTTTCACTTGTGAACACACATGAAACATGAGCAAACGAACTTTACATTTTTCTAACACGTATCCAAAGAGCGACAATACTGAGACAGATTTTAGCCGGTTATTCATTTAATGTCGTGAGGGAATATATTTATATACCAAGATTAATATTATATATAAGCAAAAATAAAGCTCATAAATTTCAGGCCGACGAATCAGCAGTTAAATGATGTGATTTTCAGTACCAATCGGGATTTATTGACAAAAAAACGTAGTGTACATCAAGAAATTCCTCCTCCTCCTTAGCTATGCTGATGAATGAAATGAAGTCAGCGCCCTCAGAAAATGCTAACTCCTTAACCACTACGAATAAACTTAAGTGTTAAAGGTCGAAAAGTTGAAATAATTGCCACTAAGTAAAAAATGTTTCAACAATTGCAATCCTTTATTAAAACAAATAATTAATTTACCATAGGCATCAGTTAAAATGCATAGAAAATCAGAATTATATAGTTTAAAAAATAAATACAACAAAATTCAAAGAAATATATGAAGACAGTGAATATAGCCACTTTAGTAACAGGTGTATCGTCACCGAAAATCTATTGTAAAGTGAAAAACTATACACATAAGCGTTGGTGTAAATATCCACATCAACTCGTAAAAATCGATCAATCCATCATGAGATCTCGGAAATCCCAAACGAAAGCAAGAGAAGAGCTCTCTGCTCGAGGAACAATATTTACATTACATTATAACAGTCAAGTTAGCATATATATAAGACCAGTACGTCAAAGACACTACGTCAAAGTTCGGTCTTTACTGCATGTGGAGAAAATACACAAATTATCTAAGGAACTATAACATGGAAGAATAATGAAAATAAACAAAATAATAGCACATATCCCACATGGTTTACGCTCTAAGAAGAAACAAACAAGGAATAAAAGTATATATATTGCATGATAAATATCTGCGGCCGGATTAGATGGCTTCGGTAAAAAAAGCAATGGGATTATCAGTTGCAGGCAAAACATCTACAAAACAAAAACAAAATTCCTTTATAATGTATCCATTAAAAAACACAAGTTATTATGAGCGTATTACACTCATTTACCATGCATGGATTTATGTAGTCGGCTTCGAATTGCACATGTTGTATGGGGGCCAGCGATACTATGTAGTTGTTTAAACAAATGTAGATGGCGCAACGTTTGAATGTGACATGCTGTCAAGTACCCGAACCCTTTAAACCCCACGCTCTGGCCCCAAACATTAACAGAGAAAATATGAAAACAAGATTGGCTATCAGACCAATTTATAGTGTATCAACAATAACATCAATCAGAGAAAAAGTGTAACGTGCGTATAAGAGAGAAAAAATGAAAAAATAGAGGACAATAACGACCACAGATTAGTGTATGGTAGTGTAATAATAATGGGAGGAAACGGAAAGGTAAAACCAGAATGAATTCCTTCAGTTAAGGAAGTTACGGTCACTTCTTATGAAGAAAGTAAAAGGTTACAGCAGGATCGCCACTGGCTTCTATTCTGAGTCATATCTGATAACGTCTCTAGCCCTTGTGTTGCATCATCCACTGAATCCCAGCCAGGGAGTCGAGAAGGACCAACACAAGCCAGTCCTGTACAGTTCTCTTTCCTGCCACGGCACCATGTCATACACTGACCACCTCTCCGCTTTTTCCAACCAGTCCCAGAGTCGGCAAATAATGCACGACGAGGGATTCTCCGGGACGACATTCGTAGAACACGTCCAAGCTACCAAAGTCGATGTTTCAAGATGGTGACACCAATTGAATTATCGTCTCTGCGCCCGAACCTCCGCATTACTAACATGATGTTGCCACTGGACGGCAGCAATCCTTCGGAGACAACGATGACCAAACAGAGAGTTGTCTAAAATCCTCAACTCAGAAAGGCCAGGTTTCACATGCATAGAACAAAACTGCTCTCACCGACGCGTTGTAGATCCGACCTTTTACAACCAGACTAACATTATGAAGGCACCAACGATGGCCCAGATTGACATAAGCCGCTCTGGCTTTCACTACACGTGAATTGACCCCATTACTCACGCCGCCACCAGCACTTATGCAGCTACCTAGGTACACGAACTTCTCGACTACTTCTATCTGCTCACCATTCAGGGTGAGTACAGGATTAGAATCCTGCCAGTCTTGTGGAAGTACTTTGCACTTCGGAGGTGCGAAGCACATACCGTACCTACGAACACTGATTGCCAACTGATTAAGTGCGGACTGCATGGCTTGGGTATTATCACACAACCAATTACCAATGCAGTCATTAAACCCAAGTATAACGATAAAAACATGCGTTATGGTATGATATGATACTGAATGCTGACAAGCACTCGAAAGGCATCAAACAAAATTCTTCCGTCATTGAAAGACTATGGTGCAGGAGATACCATTGACATGGGACACTCGAAATTCATTTAATTAGGGGGCAAATCTATGAACCCACACGTGAATGATTATGAAAGGTACATCCAACAACCAATAACGCAGATAAGTCAATTAGAAAATCTTCTACACGCTTACTACATCATACGTTTTCATCCCTTTCAACTGTTGTTTATATATTGTGTACAACTTTACTTAGTTTTTCATCCCAAAAACAATAAGCGCCAAAGAAATCGATTTCAGAATAAAATTCCGCTATATAGGGTACGCCAATTTTTAGTGAGACATTACAAAAGTAGAATCTCACTTGACATCACATAAGATGATTTGTCAAGAAAAGGTTTGCCATAAGCTCTAGTTATTCACGCAGCTGTGCAAAAATATATGTCAGTTAGTCAAGCACAATGTGGAACTTGACGCGTGCAAACCGGTTAACGTTGCGACACCACATTAGCATAGTGAGATGAAATTGTAAGGGCGAATCCCAGAAAAGTAGATGTAGTAACCGTACTAGTGGTGATAAAAAGTATTAGGTATCAAAGATAAAATTCGAGAGGAGCATATAAATTAGCGAAATAAAGAATAACAGGGAATTTGGAGAGTTAGTTTCTAAAGGGAAACATAGTGAATGCATCTGCACCCCTGTGAATGATTCTTAACCATATCACCCATAGTTCCTAACCACCGGTTACAATAACCACACAGGTAGTAAGCTTCTACCTATATGGCTCAGACCAAATGTTTGTCTTAATGGACTTATCCCATGCCTTGGTTTGGCGAGCCCTAGCTTTTTTCAATCTACTTCTATAACGGTCATCATCACGTGTTCAAGCAGTTGGTGGATGGGCATGCGTAACACATGCTCTAACTATTTTGGTAAATGATTCATTACCCCATCAAACAATTTGCCGTTTTTATCTAGTACTATGTGTCCCACATCGATAATCATCTAACGAGTTGTACGTGAGCTTAATAAGTTGAAGGATTTTCCACGAATATGCCAGCAATCGCTCGTATTCACCTTACTTTAGAGTACTTTAAAATCTAAGATTAACTACGGGCTTGAACTCCACTTCAGATTTTTTCCATTTCCATTACCTTATACAATGTAGGGCTTAAAACGGACGACACATACCTATAACAGGCAACTGAGTTACACTGTAACAAGCAAAGTGGGTGGTATCACATCAATGTCTTTTAGCGTGCCGCGCATCAGTGCACGGATCCACGGGATTTTCACCTGCGACCTTACTCTTTGGACATGAATTACGCCTACCTGTTGAGCTACAAATACCGTTGTTACCATGCGAGGCTCAAGATCATGTATTATACATCCGTAACCTTCGCAGCCGTCTAGCCGACGCATATCACCTAGTTAAGATCAACCTACAAAATGTTAGCAAACACCAAAATGATGTGTACGACCGCAAGGCGAATGGACCCGTGTATAAACCCGGAGATCGTGTTTGGCTGCACCGTCCCTTGGCCCCACCAGGAACATGCAGCAAGTTCCACCAACCTTGGCAAGGACCTTATGAAGATGTGTTTGCTCAGTCTCTTACTACATTCGTCCTACGTAACCTCCAATGGCCCCAAGACGATGTTATAACGGCACACTACAACCAATTGAAGCCAGACAGAACAACGATGCACTCAGATACCCCGTTTGTCAACCCACTGACTGCCGTCAGCCACTATGAAGTGCCACCAGAAGGAGGGGTAGCATACCCATGTCCAGCACTAGGCACTGAGGACAGTGTCTCATGGAGAGGGGGTATTGTGACGGTATTAAAATCATTACATATGACGTTGCTAACGTGAGTTTGTTTTCCTTACTACAGGGCAACAAAGAGTGAACGTACTAGAAGAAGAGGAACAAGCCTTAAGCAACCTGAACCTGCAAAACAATGAGTCAACCCATTTTGTAATAAGCTTCCCCCTTTGTACTCGAACCGCGTCTTTCAATTTTTAAACATATCTGTTGTGCCAGTACGCCGTGTTCTTACTTCAGTGGCATTTACCGGTCCTGACTGTTGTGTTGTGTTTCAGATCACTCCTGCTTGCAGGTACACGCTAATAGTACGTACTACAATTTGGCTAGAGTCATGACATCATAACTGATGTCAGTCCGTGATAAAAACTTTAAGTCTAATTCCAAACCTTAATCATCCACTTTATATGATCATTCCATTTAATCCCACTGATTTATAACCCTCGTTTGGTCTGAGTTATCAGGTGAACACTCGTAAGGTCAGTCTAGCGTTGCTCAAGTTCGTCCATTAATTATAGACTCACCATTAACTGAGACTAGCACTAAATTGATTTGACACCTGCTCTACGCAACCAAACACACTGAACTAACCTCTGACAATCCTCAAATAAAAAACAATAACTAAAACGAGGGACTTATTTGAGTCCTGTTACAAAATGTAAAATAATTAACTTCTGGTCCTGAAGAATTGAGCAGTCAGCAGATATAAATTTTTTCCCAAGAAAGTAAGCACTCTTCACACCTTCGATTCCTCTAATTTGTTTGGCTGTTACTGTTTGCAATTCTATAAGAGCCTACAGTGCACAAATATAGAATTCCGTCCAAAAATTATCAAGCTTATTTGTACATTTTCCAGCTCTCTAAATAATCTGAAATAATTTCCGCCCATTTAAAGAAATAAGTAAAATGATGCTAAGAAAAAAGTTTCTAGGATATGCTTACCAATGGTCTTTCATTTGAGCATAAAGTCACCTGTGACAAACCAATTTAAAACCCAAGCATTCAATATCCAATACCTCAAAGTAAAAACATCAAAACCCGAAGACACAGATGAGCAAATAGATCTTCAAAGTAAATACTTTTGAAAGCCTTCGGCATTCACGTCGACCTCATTAGTTTTAGTAGACACATCATTAGCTGAAGCAGCTAAGTTAAACATTTACATTAAATCAGATAGTTCGCACCGTACGGCATGCATCTCACTACAACTAGTTAGATTCGACTAGCTACAAAAATTAAATCCCCAAAATCATTCGTTGATAACCACTGGTTTGCCTGTCTACAAGATACTCGAACAAAGATAAGTTGTGGACAACAGTGTTTTCAAGAAATTCGAACTATGAATAAAAGTTCATATAGACATATTTTGACTAAGCGTCATGAGTGAAACAAGGGTTAGGCAGGTTACGTATTGATTGCATGCCCATTTTGTACATTTAATATAATTCTATGCATCTTTGACGGTAAGCGAAATCCACAAAACCAATAGTCCCATAATTCCTCTACATTGGTGCTGACCTCATTAATTTTATTGCACTCATCTCGGCCACACATCCGCATCACATCACGATTCGGTACGTAGTGCTACACATCCTTTTAGACTTTTAGCTAGCTTAAACGAAACGCTTCTCGACATTTAGGTAGCTCTCTAAATATACCTTCGAACCTCTTCACTTCTGACTTCTGATTTGACTGGTTTGGCATACTTTGAATGTGTTATCAAACTCCGAATACCTATAGCGCCCTTAACGTAATATGGTTTAGGAAGAGCCGAATCTCCATAGTGTTAACTATTAAGTGGACAGTTCTTTTATTAACATGACCAAAAACATGCCTCAGCGTTACTAGTGCCAAGTTTGCTCGAGACGCACTCTTATCACAGCATAAGATTTTTTTACTATTGGGTACCAATAACACATCTTCAACACATGGTAGCACTTCTAGGGGAAAAATACACATTTGGTTTGTAGTATCTTGCAGATGAACTACTTTGTACGCTTAAGAGTTAAAAGCAATCCATTGCTGCCTTAAAGTTGATTAAACTTTTCCTTAAGTGCTCGCTCATCGTCTTTGTTGTCAAATTCTCTCCGAAACTTAGTATCTTTGTCAAAATTTAATATCACAGAGCCTACTTGCTGTGTAGGGTTATTCCTATAAATAGGAAGACTAGAATTCCTGCTACTGGGCCATGTGAGACCTATTCAAGATGCTTCGTAGACTGGGTTAATCAGGTTCATCTCCGAAGTTCCTCTTGTGTTGCAGATTATATCCTTGCCTATATGGGTTCTTCTTAACGGTTGGAATGCTTAAAACACTGTATTTTGCAATAGCACCACGGCGTTACCTACAATGTTGTTTGTGCGTTTAGGACCTAACGACTTTGGTTCCACCCTATCAAGAGGAGCTTGCATGGTAAAGCAAGATTTCGCATTAAAAACAAATATATTGACTTCCACTTAATGCGTTTGAGCAATCGTTCCTAGCTTGTTAGAACTACTTATACAATATAGCTCCTGCACTGTTTGTACTTTGTCCAGTAGTGTCTCTTTTGTGTTGACAATTTGGTGTCGTGATTTCATGTAATTTCAGGTTGCTTAAAACTCACAGTGAACGTTTGTAAGAGACACTGATATGTATTACATAATATCGTGTGTAGTAGGCAAAAATATAATTTAAAATGAAGACAATGCACCTGCTAAACATTATCTATTATATCTAACACAATTAATTTTTTAAAATTTCAGAGGCTTTCTTGTGGACGTAATTGATTTACGACAGACGTTGGACAAGTTGACATTTATCACATACAGTCGTTCTTAACTTCTTTATTAGGAAGAATTATGATACCTCATGGTGAAAGCTGATACTTCGAAAGTCATGAGGCCCATACCCTTTATAAGCACCAAACCAACAGTGAATATAGGTGCGTAGAATGTCCAGACAATGAGGGAGACTGAAGTGACCAATCAAATAGTTACGGAAATAAGGAGATATTTGGTGAAGCTCAGAATGATTGAAACACATTGGACCCAAATTTGACGGGAAAAATTAGATTCGAGAGTTACCGTTCTACTCTGGTCACGAAGAAGAAAATGTTCTGTACATTCAGAAAGTTGCACTGATGCTGTCCAAAGAAGCACTAAAAGCGCTTATCGGATAAGAATCTCATGGACTCAGAACCATCAAAGCATCCTTCAAAACAAAGAGGGAGGAAATCACACTAAATGTTATCCAACGTTGCGCACCCATCAATGATGGCAATGAAGACGATAAAAATCAGTCTCATGAGAGGCTACAACCAATCATAGCCAAGTGCTCAGGAAAGGACCTGACCATCCTTATGGGAGAAGTAAACGTCAAAGTCGGAATGGACAACATCGGTTATGAAGATATCATGAGACGACATGGACCAGCAGAAAGGAACGAGGATGGTGACAGATTTACAATTTTATGTGCATTCAACAAAGTGGTTATATATGGCACTATATTCCCCCGCAAACACATACACAAAGCTACATGGGTATCACCGGGACACACTACAGGGAATCAAATCGATCATATTTGCATCACTAGAAAATTCAGAAGGTCAATGGAAGACGTGAGAACCAAGAGAGATGACATAGCTTCAGATCACCACCAACTGGTGTTTGCCAAGATGAATCTGAAGCTAAAGAAGCACTGGACAACTGGGTAAACAGCATTACAAAGATTGAATGCAGACTTTCTTCGAGACTCTGACAAGCTCAACGAATTCAAGATAGATCTCAGCAACAAGTTTCAAGCATTACAAGATAGACTCATAGAAGAAACTACTATGGAGGATAATTGGAAAAAGACCGAAGAAGCACTAACTTTAACATGTCAGGAGGTCCTGGACCGAAAGAATCATCATCACAAGAAATGGATCTCCATTGAAATCCTGGACAATATTCAAGAAAGGAAGAACAGGAAGACATCGACTGACAACAGCCGAACAAGAGCAGAGAAATTCAACGCACAAGCACAATCAAGCATGAAAGTGGAGAGCAATATTAGAGCTGACAAGCAGAAATGCACAGAGGACCTAACAACGACAGCGGATAAAGCTGCAGAAGGAAATATGAAACAACTATATGACACAACGAAGAAACTATCAGAGAAATATAGTAAGCCAGAGACCAGTCAAGAACAAAGAAGGCAAGCCAATCACTGAGACTCAAGAACAAAGCGAAAGATGGGTAAATCACTTTGAGGAACTATTGAATAAGCCAGTTCCACGGAATCCATCGGCACCTATAAACCTTCCCATACATATCACTCCACCAACGATCGAAGAAATCACGATGGTTACCAGACAAATCAAGTGTGGGGAAGCAGCAGGTCCTGACAATATACCAGCTAAAGCACTGAAGTCAGACATGGAAGCAATTGCGAACATGCTCCACGTTTTGTTCAGGAAGATTTAGGAGGAGGATTAAGTGCCGACAGACTGGGAAGAAGGATACCCCATCAAGATACCAAAGAATGATCTGAGAAAATGTGAGAACTATGGAGGCATCACACTACTATCAGTACCAGGAGAAGTTTCCAACAGTGTTGCTGAACCGGATGGAAGACTCAATAAACGCCCAACTTCGAGATCAACAGACCGGATTACGTAAGGATTGATTGTGTACAGATCAAATCGCGACAATATGGATCGTCGTTGAACAATCAATTGTATGGAATTCGTCACTATACATCAACTTCCTTGACTATGAGGTGCTTGACAGTGTGGATAGAAGAACCTTGTGGAACCTTCTTCGACATAATGGTGTACCTGAGATGGTCAATATCATACGGAATTCATATTACGGACCACACTGCAGAGTCGTACATGGAGGACAGTCGATAGACGCATTCCCAGTAAGGACCGAGTTCGACAAAGCTACTTACTCTATTCCTTCTGATGGTTGACTGGATTACTCCTCGAATCCAGCTTTCAGTTAAAACCAGTCGTTTTTGAAGTCGCTACTGTAATATACGACGCAGACAAGTCTAACAACATTGATTTCAGTCGCGCAAACAAAACCGATCCTCCAACATAATGGCAGTGAAACATGGCCGGTAAGAGTAGAGGATATCCGTAGGCTACTAGTTTTTGATCATAGGTGTTTTCGAAACATTGCTCGTATATCATGGGACCATCGAGTAAGTAGCACAGTTGTTAGGAAACGGGTACTAGGTAAGGATGGCAAATCAATTGATGAAGTAGTGAAACGTCATCAGTTGAGATGGCTGGGACACGTGTTACGTATGCCCAACGACTGACTGCCTCGACGTGCTATGTTCAGTGGTATAGGAGTAGGCTGGAAGAAAGCTAGGGGTGGCCAAACCAAAACATGGCATAAGTCCATGAAGTCACTGACAAGTGAACTGAGTCATGTTGGTAGGTGTAGACTACCTGGTTGGGGACCGCGAGATGATAGCAACCGATGGTTAGAGACCCTGAATGACATGGCTCAAAATCGTTTGCAATGGTGCAGGTGCATCCACTCTCTGTGTTCTCTCAAATTCTAATCTTCTGAATTCTTCATGTCCCTTTTTTCCTCTTTCCAAATTTATTTCACTGGATTATACTCTTTAAATAACATCTCCAAACCCTAATCTTCCCGATTACTGCTTATACTCTTATTACCTCTACCACTATGGGATTTGAATCGACAACTGCATCTCTGTGCTAATGTGGTGTGGCAACTCGAACTGATGTACGTACGTACGAAGTTCTACGTTGTTACTGACTGACTGATTTAGGTCAGACAGAGGACACAAACATCCAATTAGGCAATCCACGCAGAAAAGGTCAACCAGTCACACGGTCAGAAGTCGAATGAGCGAAACCTTCGTAGAAACAAACGTGAACATAAGAATAATAAAATCCGTCAGAAGCAAGGTCGTTAGAGATGAATGGCTTAATAGTAGCAAACGGGTATTAATTCCTCACAACACTTAAGGAATATGCAGTGATATAAAGAATATTTCACAGGAAACTAACCAAGCGAACGTCTTTATTCATAGATGAATTTTGTGTCACGTATTGGAAACCTAACTTTTCACAAAATTTATACTTTTATCGCGTAAAACAAACAAGTTCAAGCTAATTGGGATAAATACAGCCAGATAGTTGCAACGCTACACATATTTAGCTCTCTTTGTTATCTTCATATTACAACACTATCAAGAAAAATAAATCAAACAATTACCCCAGAATTTATGCACTTGAAGTCGGGAATAGATTAGATGGCCTAGTTTTTCGTCTGTACAATAAAGACGTAATATCATTTATTCTCCTCAGAGGAACTTAATGAAGTATTTTACAACCAGATTGGCCAGGGAAAATGTAAATAAGGTACATCACGTTACCTAGAAATTTATATGCTCACATACTCTTCAGTCATCTGAATGAGAAACTATAATATTTCACCTTCAAAAGTTCATGGAAGTTTTGTAGAATCGGTTTTCAACATTATTTACCCACTGTTTCTAAGTACGAGGGGTAACTACAGGATCAAGACTTGGTTTCAGTAATTAACAAGCCACTACAACCTGAAAGCACATGCTTTTTAATTAAATTAGTCAATTAGGTTTAACGTTATCACACTTGAGAGTCCCAGAAATCATGTCGTACATGGGATTGGGCAGTTATCATTGAATACACACCCATCGAATGCATCAATATCGGAATAATTGGAAATAAGTATGCAACGTATTCAAGTGTTCATCGAGGGTTGGTTCATGTATTAATGGATTGTAAAAGATATATATTCTCACCCATTTCACCACAATAAGAATAAATTATGTACTCAACTAACAATAAAAGAAAACTATGTGGCTAGTGGAGCGGTGACTTAAAGATCAAGGCATTTGGCTTGTAGCCACAAAGTTGCGGATTCAAACCTCACTTCACCTACGTAGGTTTGGGCAACCAGTTGGTATCACCAACCCTCACACGTAACATGTGGCTCGAAACACACGAGTCTGTACCTAGTATGAGTTTATAAAAATGATCTCTCCTGAGATGAAGATTTGTAGCTCAAGTGGATTATTTCTGCAAGATTTCATCATCCGAACTGAATGACTTATTCGCAGATTTTTTTTCCGAACACCACACGCAAAACTTCTACCTGAACACAAGCAGACTTCGAGGAATGTCAGATAAAGGCTAACTAATAAGTACATCGACGATTTCACTAATACTGTCATCTAAGCTCAGAAATATATTTTTGAAATAAACATGAAGAGCGTGGAGATAAACTAATATTTGAAAATGTAACTTCTAACAGTGAGACGAAAAGATAAGTTAGTACTTCTCAAAATACACTCAATAGAAATCAGAAGCATCCTCTGTTATGAAAAAGGGAGATATCGCTATAATTAGTGTTCCGAACAAGGAGATCGAATCACCGTTTTATCCCACAATGACGGTATTTTCATCCACAAACTTGTACTGAGGTACTTCCAAATTAAGAGGAGCGGGGCCTTTTCTTATACGACCAGATGCATCGTAATGACTACCGTGACAAGGACAGAAATAACCTCCGGGGAAATCGCCGGCGTGTGCTACTGGAACACAACCTGTAGAAGAAAGGTTAGCAATTACAATACATGAGTCCAAACGCACAACACATGAGGCAACGTGTTTACTAACATAATTACAGCAAAATAATAAGGAAGTCCATAAAACCTTACATGATGCTTCACTATGGCTCCTTTTAATAATGTGTCATAGTAGTTCACTCTCATCCCACTCTATACTATTTTTCTATTATAACCCTAATCAACCATGGGTATAGTGATTGTCAAGTATGTGAGGGAATACTACGATAATCGCAATTCTAAACAGAAAACCAATTTCTATACTTAACAGTTTGTACAATAAATGTTATATCATAAGGCAAATCTCAACAACATTATCACACATTGGAACCACATCGATGTTATGAACAAATCATATTAGAGCAATAATTCTTCAGTGATACTCGCATACCAAGATACGTGAATATCATGAAAATATTTCAGATGAACACTATCTAATTTTTACTTAGATGGCATGTGTGTTACATACAAGCCTACAAGTCAAGAAATGTAAAAAGTAATATTTTGTAGTCGATGAACGAGGGAACGACAAAGTACTTTAATCGTCACACCAGTCATATTTTTCCCAGCAACACCTTTAAAGTAAAGACATTGAAGATACTTCAAACCTTGTTATAATCTTACCATCAAATGCCTACCAAACAATAGTTGGAAAGAATTCATTATTGAAACTCAGCACTTTAACGGTTAACACTATATTTAGCTGATACTTAATTATTTGAGAAATCACAGGTAAGAACTTTCAAACCAGTTGATTAAAATGTTGGACGCAACGTATCAATTTAAAAAGTGTGGAAATCAAGACAAATGTATATGGGCTGGTATTACCACAGCACATAAGAGTAAATTAATGTTACACTCAGTCTTAGGTAATCTAGACGTCACCATGTAGATACAATCCAACAAAAATTGTCTAAGGGAACAATGATTCGGGTGCATGTGGAAATGATACGACTTGTTTCTCAATTTAATCAAAGACCCCATTTATTTTATTTCAATTTAATATAACACAGATATTGGTACAAAGAGGTACCAAATACATATGCGCCACACAGATTTCATTTGATATGTAGGAATCAAGGATCCCAAGATTGAAGAAAAGTCATAGGTTTCTACATTTTCAGTCAAGCTTGTTATAGTGAAACTCCGATTTTAGCTATTCAAGGGTTACTGCAGGTCTGAAGTCCACAAATAGGAGGAAGGTTGAGCATGGGGATAGCAACCCCATCCCGTAGAAATCAACTTCCTAAAAACGCTGACTAGAACAAAACAGATTTACCCATTTAAACTCTGTTCTGGGAGAGAAGTGATCTTTATTAAGAAGAATTATGATACCTCATGGTGAAAGCTGATACTTCGAAAGTCATGAGGCCCATACCCTTTATAAGCACCAAACCAACAGTGAATATAGGTGCGTAGAATGTCCAGACAATGAGGGAGACTGAAGTGACCAATCAAATAGTTACGGAAATAAGGAGATATTTGGTGAAGCTCAGAATGATTGAAACACATTGGACCCAAATTTGACGGGAAAAATTAGATTCGAGAGTTACCGTTCTACTCTGGTCACGAAGAAGAAAATGTTCTGTACATTCAGAAAGTTGCACTGATGCTGTCCAAAGAAGCACTAAAAGCGCTTATCGGATAAGAATCTCATGGACTCAGAACCATCAAAGCATCCTTCAAAACAAAGAGGGAGGAAATCACACTAAATGTTATCCAACGTTGCGCACCCATCAATGATGGCAATGAAGACGATAAAAATCAGTCTCATGAGAGGCTACAACCAATCATAGCCAAGTGCTCAGGAAAGGACCTGACCATCCTTATGGGAGAAGTAAACGTCAAAGTCGGAATGGACAACATCGGTTATGAAGATATCATGAGACGACATGGACCAGCAGAAAGGAACGAGGATGGTGACAGATTTACAATTTTATGTGCATTCAACAAAGTGGTTATATATGGCACTATATTCCCCCGCAAACACATACACAAAGCTACATGGGTATCACCGGGACACACTACAGGGAATCAAATCGATCATATTTGCATCACTAGAAAATTCAGAAGGTCAATGGAAGACGTGAGAACCAAGAGAGATGACATAGCTTCAGATCACCACCAACTGGTGTTTGCCAAGATGAATCTGAAGCTAAAGAAGCACTGGACAACTGGGTAAACAGCATTACAAAGATTGAATGCAGACTTTCTTCGAGACTCTGACAAGCTCAACGAATTCAAGATAGATCTCAGCAACAAGTTTCAAGCATTACAAGATAGACTCATAGAAGAAACTACTATGGAGGATAATTGGAAAAAGACCGAAGAAGCACTAACTTTAACATGTCAGGAGGTCCTGGACCGAAAGAATCATCATCACAAGAAATGGATCTCCATTGAAATCCTGGACAATATTCAAGAAAGGAAGAACAGGAAGACATCGACTGACAACAGCCGAACAAGAGCAGAGAAATTCAACGCACAAGCACAATCAAACATGAAAGTGGAGAGCAATATTAGAGCTGACAAGCAGAAATGCACAGAGGACCTAACAACGACAGCGGATAAAGCTGCAGAAGGAAATATGAAACAACTATATGACACAACGAAGAAACTATCAGAGAAATATAGTAAGCCAGAGACCAGTCAAGAACAAAGAAGGCAAGCCAATCACTGAGACTCAAGAACAAAGCGAAAGATGGGTAAATCACTTTGAGGAACTATTGAATAAGCCAGTTCCACGGAATCCATCGGCACCTATAAACCTTCCCATACATATCACTCCACCAACGATCGAAGAAATCACGATGGTTACCAGACAAATCAAGTGTGGGGAAGCAGCAGGTCCTGACAATATACCAGCTAAAGCACTGAAGTCAGACATGGAAGCAATTGCGAACATGCTCCACGTTTTGTTCAGGAAGATTTAGGAGGAGGATTAAGTGCCGACAGACTGGGAAGAAGGATACCCCATCAAGATACCAAAGAATGATCTGAGAAAATGTGAGAACTATGGAGGCATCACACTACTATCAGTACCAGGAGAAGTTTCCAACAGTGTTGCTGAACCGGATGGAAGACTCAATAAACGCCCAACTTCGAGATCAACAGACCGGATTACGTAAGGATTGATTGTGTACAGATCAAATCGCGACAATATGGATCGTCGTTGAACAATCAATTGTATGGAATTCGTCACTATACATCAACTTCCTTGACTATGAGGTGCTTGACAGTGTGGATAGAAGAACCTTGTGGAACCTTCTTCGACATAATGGTGTACCTGAGATGGTCAATATCATACGGAATTCATATTACGGACCACACTGCAGAGTCGTACATGGAGGACAGTCGATAGACGCATTCCCAGTAAGGACCGAGTTCGACAAAGCTACTTACTCTATTCCTTCTGATGGT